CTATATTTTTAAATGCATGGTACATGCAAAGAATCTATAGTAGCCTAGCTACATGGCATATATACAACGGTAACACTCTTTCACTAATCATTTCGAGTTAATTATTTATGCATTTTTACGGGAAAAAACCAAGAACAAGTTGATCTCAAGAACTCGAATTGTTGGAAAATGTTCAATTATGGGTCATGTACTATTTACTAACACACACACCCTTAAATGAAAGCCGACTGATCATACGTTCTTGAAGCTTGCACAAGTACTCCGAATATCATGTGCTTAATAAAGCCGATGAGGGTTGCCGAAATTCGACCAAAACAACCTCTAGGTCTCAGATGACTCTGATACCATGTCAAGAACCAATTGATCTCGATAACTCAGTTACGAATCAGATCTCATATCTACTAACAAGAACAGAACAGTACTAGCTAGCTAAATTGTTTCATTGTTTCTAATTATTTGTCTACTCTCACTTATTAGCTGCGATAGCGATAAGTCGATCGACCGAAGCAAGAAAACCTTCGTCTCTTTCTGTGATGAGAAATGGCGCAAATGTTGTAAAGGGAGAATGGTCCAAATTTCTAAAGCGTAATATGTATATGTACGTAAACCACCAAGCATGCATGTGACGATGTTTATTACTACGTACCCTTTCGAAATATATAATAATAAATTGGCTGCTTGGAAATGAAACCATTAATCGACTCGTTTGCACATGTCCCGAACACAAGAATACATGTGCTTCACAAATGGGGTCACCGGGATTCGAACACAAGACCTTTCGGTCAAAGAAGACTCTGATACCACGTCAAGAACCAGTTGCTTCCAATAACTCGAGTAGTTGGGAGAGGTTCAATCGTGAATCATATACCGATCACTAACCGTGGTAACGGTCCATTTTGTGATCTGGACCGATGGAAATGGCAGAGTTTGAAAAGGGCTTGTAAAGAGGATAAAAAAAAGATGCTGATGACAAAATGCTAAGTGCTAATGGCATAGCTTATTCCATCGGGCCTAAACATCGTAATCATATGGGCTGCAGCCCAACCCAAGCAGTGAGATTTGAGTGATTGGGCTATATATACACCCTCGAGTCTCGACTTTCACGCATTTTCCACAACCTAACAATCCCTCGGATTGAAACGAGCCCATTTATACAAATACGTGGACGGAATGATAATAACTAGGAATATAATTTTTTTTGGTAGAAAGACAGACACCAATGGTGTCTAATTGATATTCCTAATTAAACGTTATTGGGTAATACCCAATACATCAAAGATGTGCTTTCGTATATTGAATTTTTTTTCAATTTACAATCATCTTGTAAATTATGAGTGTTGTCACTCTTAAGGTATAGTCCACCGAAAAGCATTCATGTTTTCATAACTCATTATATTTCAAAGATTTATTTTTTTTTACCTTGTTTCCGTGCAGTAAATGTTCTTTCTACACTTGTAATGACAACCGGTAGCAACAAAACGCTACTCAATTTTGAGTTTTTTCAATTACATTAAACTCGGTTACAAAATATATATTAATTATAATTTAAATAGGAGGAATTTTACAATGCTATATAGCATTGGTGCTGTAGGTTTTTGCCTTTATAATACAACTTTGAAATTGTACGTTTAACATTATGGTACAACTTCAGATTGTACCTATACTTTTTGTACAAATTCTTTTATGGTACAACTTGAATTTGTACCTTTATGTGATGGTACAGCTTCAAGTTGTGAACTTGTACCATAACATAATGATACAAATTGCTTTATGGTACAACTTTAAGTTGTACAATAAAACACCAATACTTTATAGCATAGTAGAAGTGCTCTTTAATTAGGGATCGCAAAACTTTTTTTTTTTTGCGTAAAATTATCTGCAATCGTAGAGAGATCTTGTATTCAATTCAAAACCATACAAAAGAAAATTTTATTACTATATATTTTTTGGGCCAAGAGTGGTGCAAACCACCTCCGTTGGCTAAGTGGCTCCGCATCCGATACCAATCTGTCAATTTGATCTTGTTATTTACTAGTTTATATATCTCATACTAGTAATACACAATTATTCAGCCTAACAAAGCGATCCAATACAATAATATAGCCGATAAATAAATTATCCAAAAAATATAAAGTTCCTTATCATAATCAAAAAAATCAAAATCATGTGTTCGTACTGTAAATCAACTTATTCCTGCCGCCTTTCATCATTCTAGACAACCGAACTCGTGAATCAATTGGTCATGGATTCTTGCACTGTTATTGTCACTTTGTTCTTCTTCTCCTTCGTCGTCATCTTCTTCATCGTCTTTCAAATGCCGACATTATTCTAGTTAGTACGAAAACATTGGAAAATCCGAAAGAAATGGATACATATACACAACGTCTAAGTGCAAAACGACAGCCATCAGAAGCCGTCCGGGCAGCAACTAAGCTGATCTGCAATAACACGATTGGGAGTACCGATCGAAGAAACGGTCGTCCCGTGGGCAACAACGTCAACATGATCCTACAAATCGGCAACTTAGACGCCAAAACATGTAGTGACGAGCCTCGTTTCCCCTAAGTTGGGAATCTATGCAGGCAATTACGAACTAAGAAACAAATTATCCATCATCGACTGAAAGTCATGGTGTACGTGTTAGAGTGTGGTATAAGATCCAGCAGAACCCTCTCCCAACAACTCGAGTTATTGGGAGCAACTGGTTCTTGACATGGTATCAGAGCCTCGAACCAAAAGGTCATGTGTTCGAATCTCCACGGCCCCCAATATTAACCGTTGTCTTTCAAGCACATGGTATGGTGGGCCTGTGCAAACTTCAAGCCCATGGGTTGGCTTTCGTTTGAGGGGGCGTGTTAGAGTGTGGTATAAGATCCAGCAGAACCCTCTCCCAACAACTCGAGTTATTGGGAGCAACTGGTTCTTGACAGTACAGACTTATACAAATCTGCTATTATGTTATGGATCGATATTTCTATCTTTTTCCTTTCCGGGTTGGATTAGGATAAGATCATTTGGACAATGTGCTATGTATATCGATCTTCTCATCTCTCTGTAATATGTATCTTCTTAAAGTATAGTGAAACTGGTCTCTCCAGCTGACAGATCAACTAAGACACATCGTATAAATGAACCACGTAAATTTGTGTCTTCCTTACTTTTTTGCATTGTCGATTTCTCATTCCGATGTGACATTGAACACTAATGAAAATATGGTCGATCGCATCATGGGTTCCAATCCTCATATTTTATTTTACTTTTGGATCGTGCCTTTCAGGTCCGGTTTTGTACAGCTCTACCAGTAACTTCTGAATACTATAGACACGAGAAGCAGGAAGAGAGGGGAGGAAACAAGGACTTGTTAGCTAGCTGTTACTATGCCAAGAAAAAAAAGATGCCAAAGAGACAAGAGTAGATTCCTTCACAAAGCGAAAGAATATCCCATTCCGAAGATGCGAATCTCCTTCCTTATCCACTCCTCCCTCCTCCAAAGCTCCCGGGCAAAGCAAATCCAGAAAAAAGCATCGACAGACAAACTGCCTTACCTATATTGTTGGAAACCCACTGAAATCTGATTTGTTGCATACTCTCTTTCCATCTATAGCTACCAAATGATTTGATGTGGAGGACTCACAATTTGCATCGTATGTTTCGCCAAACATGGAGATCATGCATTGACACCGTCTTTGTTTGGTGTGCATCATGCATTGACACCGTCAGATCGTGTGAAGTGCAGTGATCTTGATCGTCGAATGTGCATAAATCGTTTACGACCGAAGTCTGTGCATATTCAATTACTGAAAAATCATCACAATAAAAATACCCAATATGGTAGTTAACTACAGTCAGTCGAACGATGAATGCAGATAAAAAAAGAATAAGCCAAGGGAGCCGGGAATCACAAGAATGGAAAGAAGTCAGTCCATTGAATTGCCCCACCCTAAATAAAGTGTGACGCGAGATTCATCATTTCGCTGAATTTCCTTGTATCTTTCATTAGAAAAACTAACAATACTCACGTAGATTAGAAAGAGTATCGCGACTAAGCAAATATACGATGAATCACTTATCATCATGATTGAACATGTGGTTAAAACTTTTTTAAGTCGAACCAACTTTTTCTTCGTCGGTCCCTTCCTTTCAAGTTTAAGAAACGATTATAAAAATTCAATCTCTCGAATTATCACGAACATGGTTGTCACGCCGGCTGGCGTGCCACCGGTTGAACCTGGTTCAATCGATACCGGTCATAAAACCGGTGTGACACCACCGGTATGACCGGCATGATCGATATACGAATCTCTAAGTAAAATTACCTTATTTTAGTGAATTTAATTGATAAAAATGATTTTATTATTTATTTTATGAGTATAAAAGTTAAATATTGATGTTATTTGTTGGATTTAAGTATAAATGTTTAAGTATTGACGTTAAATGTCATGTTTAAATATGAGTATTTATAATTTTATTTGTAATATTGATCGGCATGAACCGACACAAACCGGTATGTGCCACCGGTTGAACCATTCCACTTGCTAAACCGACACAGTAGCATAAACCGGTTTGACAACCTTGATCGAACAATCTTAACCACATCAATCGTCCTACGTGCTACGTAATCAACCCCGATACAATACAACCGTTGAGGACCGAACAAACAAAAGCGAGTGGTAACGGAAGGTAATGTGGAGGAGAAGCGGTCCAATTGAAACAAGTTGACCTGCCAACGGGGTTAGTAACGGAAATTGCAGTGGGCAAAGGAAGCAGGGAATATTCGTCGAAAGGCAATTTGGAATTATGCCGAATCCGTCCGCCTCAAGATTCACCGCCGCCGCGTAAAAATCTGTTGGCTCCACCTCTTCCCATCTCCGCCGATCACCTCTCTCTCTGTCTGTCGACACCACCGCCACTGATTTATCTAAAATTAAAATAAAATAAGAATTACTTCTGTGGTGCGCAGTTTGGGACCGTCTTTCCTCCTCAGAGCAGGGAATAAAACCAAAAGATATACCCTTTCACAAAGAAAAAAAATTGGATATTACCTTCGAATATTCTCCCCCCTCTGCTCCTCCTCTGTTTCTTCTTCCCACCATATAACTATCCCCCTTCCTTCCTTTCTTCCCCCCATTTCTCCCCTCTTCTTTAATTGCCTTTCCCATTTCCTCTCCGGCGAAACAGACTCTGTAACGATGAAGTTCGGCAAAAGCCTCAGCACCCAGATCGACGAGACTCTGCCCGAGTGGAGGGACAAGTTCCTCTCCTACAAGGAGCTAAAAAAGAAATTGAAGCTCATCGAGCCCAACAACAGGGCCGGCGACGGCCCAGGAGATAGGCCCGCCAAGCGGCCGAGAATTGACGGCGGCGTGACCGAGGAGGAGATCGATTTCATCAAGCTTCTGGAGGACGAGCTCGAGAAGTTCAATTCCTTCTTCGTCGAGAAAGAGGAAGAGTACATCATCAGATTGAAGGTAATAATAAGACACAAAGCCCCCGATTTTTTTTTTCCTCCGCCATCTCTGTTTTCTCCGGTGACGGTATCTCGATCTGTTTGGCTCCCGGTGAATACTCTGTTTTCGCCGGAGGCGAGCAGAGTTTTAGTCTGAAGGTTTGAAACGGTGTCGTATCGAGGTAGAGAGTGGACCGTGGGAGAGTTACTGTGACGGTCAGTTTAATCAGAAACCAATACTTAATTGCCACGTGGCGCGTTTTATTCTCTTTTTCATTTTTTGTGTCAACTTTTGGCTAAACAACTGGGCACTGGCCACCACTCACATTTATCCCGCGGCATATTTCCCTTTTGGCCCCCATAAGTAAAATGAGCTACATTTTCATACCTGTACTTTTCAAATTTTCCCCTCTAGACTGTGCTAGGATGAACTGAAATTGAGTACTTATAATCTGCTGTAGAAATTGACTGGTTGAAGCTTTTCATCGTGAATCAGGAGCTGCAAGACTCCGTAGCAAGAGCGAAGGACTCGAACGACGAGATCATGAAGATTCGCAAAGAGATTGTCGATTTCCACGGAGAGATGGTTCTGCTCGAGAACTACAGCGCCCTTAACTACACAGGTAATGAACAATTGAAATCTGAATCCTCCAGATAGCTCAACCGTGTGTTTCATTCGCCATTTTCGGGGGTTCTCATCGCGATGATCCATCGAAACAGGACTGGCAAAGATACTGAAGAAGTACGACAAGCGAACCGGGGCACTAATCCGGCTGCCATTCATCCAGAAGGTCCTGCAGGAGCCCTTCTTCACCACTGACTTGCTGAACAAGCTAGTGAAGGAGTGCGAGACGATGCTCGACCGGCTTTTCCCCGTCAAATTGGCAGCATTGGGAGCATCAAGCCGGGGTAATTCGAGCGATGAAGATGGGGACGATGCAGGTCCTTCGACTTCAGCAGCTGCTGCTGCTGCAAGCAATGTTGAGGACGGGGTGCTTAACGTGCTCCCCAAGGAACTGGCGGAGATCGAGCAGATGCAGAGCCTGTACATGAAGAGCTCGATGTCGGCGCTGAGGATCCTGAAGGAGATTCGCAGCAGGAGCTCCACGGTGAGCGTGTTCTCGCTGCCGCCGATTCAGGTGAGTGGTGGGTTGGAGGAGCCTTGGAACAAAGTTGCCATCTTGGAGCAAGTGGCCAAGTAGTAGTAAGTGGAACAAGAAGCTGCAGAACAGTTTACAGGATGTCTTATGTAATTTGCTTTGTTCTAAGTTTTTGATTGTTTGAGTAGCTATCCAAGTTGTTCATGCAGAGCTTTTGTGCATGGAGTTAGAGGATGATGGAAATTATATGATACTAACACAGAAGAGAGATGTGTAAAGTACTAGAAAGTGAAGGAATCAAAACCAATTATGTCAGTTTAGTTATAACCAATATATACTATTTCTTTTGTATGCATCAAATTTGTGCTAAGTTTTGATTTGACTGTTTATAGTTGATTCTGGTATTGTACTGAGGGTGTCTGCAGAATGTCTTTTTGCCAGAGTCTAGTTTATTGGGAGATGGGTTTGGGAATGCAATTTGGAGTTGATTTCCTTTCTACTTTTAGGTTATAAGAACATGATGTTAGATTCCCCACCACCATTGTTAAAGCTTTGGTTGGAAGGCTTTCAGGGTGTGGGAGAATTCACTCTTGGAGGTTGCTTTTGCTTGAAGGTTCCGTGGAGCAAAAGCAATCCCATGATAGTTGACTCCCAGTCAAGCAAAGGATTTTAGGTTTAGGATATGATTTGGAGGAAAAGGCCGTTGGAATTGGCTGTGGGTAGTTGCTGCTGTCCCTTGACATGGCGACTCTTCTTTGTCAAGATAGGCAAGTGGGTCACAAAACAACTGGTATGAATAATTCGAGTTGTTCGAAGAAGTCTATGTATAGATCTTACCTTACTTACGTCGTTACAAAAATTGTTCGAAGGACATGAAGTTAGAGCAAAGAGAGTCAATTGACCTGGAAATTGGAATGGCTCTGATCTGATCTCAGGCTCTTTCAATCCTAACATGGATTGGGGGTCGAGTTACACTACCATGATAAGTGTGATCATGCTTGCTTATCTTTTTTGGATGAAAATCATGCTTGCCTAACTTGAGAACTAAATCGACTCCATCCGCCAGCTCCTTTTGCCGTTTGATCTAAGATTCTGGAAATGCTTGTGGAATCTTCCCTTATCTTACAAATTGAAGGTTTTTTTTTTGTCGGCAGATGGTGCAGAGTTTCCTTTCGATTCGAGCGATGCTATTGACTAAAACATTGGTCACTGACAGTACGTGTCCATTTGTTCTGACGATACAGAATTCATTACTCATTCTCGTCATAAATTGTCGTGTAGCTACGGAATTATGGGAGCTGGTTGGTTTAGGATTAGGGTTAGGCTCTCTCTTCTTGGTCATGTTGACGGTTTACATACTTTGTTCTTTGATTGTCTCCAATGTTACTCTTGTTGGCGTTTATGGACATCCCGTTGTTGGCAGTCCGTAAGCTTTCTAAATTTTTCGTGCACTTTTACTCCTTACCGGTTTAACATGGTTGTACATTTAGTGACTAACAACGCCCTTTCATCGACAATTCGACTATTTATCGACTGTCACCGGTTAATTGCTTATTGTTCTTAGACATTTTATCTATCATCCATGACCACAAAAAAGAAACTTATCATGAGAAGGAGCAGAAGCTTCATATATATGGAGTTTGAAAATTTCTCTTAGCATCATGAGAAACACATTCGAAAATTGGTGAGTGCTTATACTATATGAGAATACCCACGATGTTAGGTTTTCAGCCAATTATAAAATGGGTCAGACATGTCTGTCCATTTGGCTTTGTCACAGTCCACTAATATGCAATACATTTCTGTATTTTCCAATGTGTGGATAAAATATCTAGCTTCTTCCACCTAATAGATGTATATAATAATGCATCTCATTAATTACTGCATCTTTTAACAATATTACAAGTACAAAATTCTTTTAATTGATATATTATGCATGCCGCGCAGCATTTCGCACATCCAGTGTAATTATCGAGTCATTTTTCGAGATTCAATACTTGAAATATTTCTTCAACAAACATTTCACATTCCTTTGTCGTTGAAGGCGAGGCTCAAATACACCTACTTCATGCAAAGTTTGGCTTTACTCTTCGACTTATCAACACGAAGTCGTGACTTGCGAACCCTATTTACTTCATTCCCAATTCCTTCAGATTCTATTATACAAGTTAAGATAGAAAAATAAGTTGAAGCACCATTAACACTAGAGGATATATTAATTCATTATCCTTTGCATGCATGTAAATGATTATCATTAACCAACTTTCCCCTGTGCATCCGAATATTGACATAGTCAATTGTTTCATATAAATATAGATATGAATATGCTGATAGCTACAACCAAGAATGGAGGAGGCAATAGCAAAGTTTAGTAAACTCATAAAAGCTCATGTGAACGTGAAGAAACTTTCGATCGTTGGTGGGACTTGGGAGCTTACAAGGAAGAATCGACAAAGAAAGAAAGGCCAGAGACAAAAGAGAAAGTGAATAAACGCGTTAAGGAATAAAGTGAATCCAGAATTGAGACATATATACTACTATATCATCTGCACAAATAAATAAAAAAAGCGGTATTTATATTTTGAACCAATACGATTTTTAGACATGACTATAGATAGATAGGTTATAATTCTCAAGATTATGTATCCTAATATCAATTTAATTAGAAATGATGATCGATGATTGTGATTCGTGGACATTTATCCAACATACGAGATGCGGTACTTTAGAATTTAAAGTTCGGGGTTTAGAGAACTAAGGTCTAGCACTATATGACTTTGGGTATGTGGTACCCTAAACCTACTTTGGATATGATAGAAGGACGATGTAATAACATGCAAATTTATGTTTTTTGCAAGATAGATGGACGATGTACATCGATCGTGGATGTAGTTTTAGTCCGACGGTAGGACGCTAGAAGTGTAATTTACTGGGTATGAAATGGTGCTAACACCGTTAGATCAATCGACTTGTTTCATGAACTCGTGCATATACTTTACACATAATACATCAAAGATTAAAAAAAAATCCTTGCAGACAGCGGTGAATCCAGAATAGGGTAGAGCACTGGGCCACATTAGAAAAAAAAAAAGAGGCTGAGATGACTGGGCCTTAACCCTACGAGCACTGAAACAGATACCTAAAATCGAAAATTTACAAGAACTATACTAGCTCTGGATCCAGAGAGGGCTAGGCCGTGGCCCGGTGATGCCCCTAGATCCGCCGCTGCTTGCAGATCATCTGGCTAGACATTTTGATAAGTGACCATAGATGATGATTAATTACATCTAAGAATTAGCATATCAAACATCAAAATGATGATGATCAAACATTATTACACTAGTCCAAGGCGGTGCATGCCAATGGGCAATTGAGATAGCCACACCATCACCACTTTGGATTATTGGCCTCTCCACTCTCCCACTCCACTGAACAAGAAAAGTGGCCAACCCAATTGCCCCCAAATTTCAAAGTGGGTCACTCAATAAACAAAAGATGTCGACTCATCATATGTCCCTCCTTTCTCTACCCTATAAATATGTGGAGAGATCACTCTGTCCAAAATGTGACAGAAACAGGGGAGGTATTAAGCAACAAATTCTGCTCTGTTCTACATCTATGAAAATGGAGTCCTCCCTCTGGCTTGTTCCATTGATGATCGCATTAGCTGCTAGTTGGAGCTCTACAGCAGTAGTACAAGGCCAGCTGAAAAATGGGTTCTACTCTTCATCTTGCCCCAAGGCAGAGGCCATTGTCAGGTCGGCGGTCGAATCGGCCTTTAAAGACGATCCTTCCATTGCTCCTGGTCTGCTCAGACTTCACTTCCACGATTGCTTTGTTCAGGTAATGAATCGAATATCCTTCTGTTGGGTTATTTCCACCATTTCATAACTGATCATCATGTGTTGTGTCAGCGTCGTAAACCAGTTGTTTCCAATAACTTCGGACGAAGTTCAATTATGGATCTTATACCATTTACTTTTTCAGGGCTGCGACGGTTCAGTGCTGATTTCGGGCCCTAACGCGGAGAGGAGCGCGCCACAGAACCTCGGAATACGAGGCTTCGAAGTGATCGACGCGGCGAAAACCCAACTGGAAGCGTCCTGCCCTGGCGTCGTGTCCTGTGCTGATATTCTTGCTCTGGCTGCTCGGGATTCCGTAGATTTGGTAACGAAGATACAGCTTTTAGTGACGCAAGTAACTTATTTTGTCATGAAAATCATCCGTCGCTAAAGGTCATTTGACAATTTCTTTTTCTTGTTTGTTTGGAATTTGTTGAAACAGAGTAATGGTCCAAGCTGGGCAGTCCCCACGGGAAGAAGAGATGGGAGAGTCTCTTCCGCTTCCCAGGCAGCGGTTTTACCGTCGCCTCTCGATTCCATTGCTGCCCAGAGGCAGAAATTCGCCGCTAAAGGGCTCGACGATCACGATCTCGTCACCTTAGCTGGTAACTTTCCAAGCACTAGTACAATTTCCTCTGTTTTTTTGGACTTCCGTGACATTTTTTGTTCAATTGGCCGCTACATTTACAAAACTAGTGGATAAAAACGAAAGGGATTTCATCAAATTTATATATAATCATGTCAGCGAAGTAACAAATTCTTCGTAATTGTTTGATTATGCAGGGGCACATACAATCGGGCAAACAGAGTGCAGATTCATGAGCTACCGTCTCTACAACTTCACGGCGACGGGGAACGCCGATCCGACGATCAGCCAGTCTTTCCTCGCGCAGCTTCAGACGCTCTGCCCCAGAAACGGCAACGGTCTGAAGAAGATCCCGCTGGACAGGGACAGCCACGGGAACTTCGACACCAGCTTCTTCAAGAACGTGAAGGCAGGGAACGGGGTGCTGGAGTCGGACCAGAGGCTGTGGGACGACGCGAACACGCGGCGGATCGTGGAGAATTACGCGGGGACGATACGGGGGCTTTTCGGGTTTCGATTCGATTTCGAGTTCTCGAAGGCGATGATCAAGATGAGCGGCGTTGAGGTGAAGACGGGGAGGGATGGCGAGATTAGGAAAGTCTGTTCTAGGGTTAATTGAGTTTTGAAATGGGGGTGGTGGTACTGTAGCAACGGTTTCAAACAATGTCGTGATTAAATGTGTGAAATGGTATTAGGATAGGAAGTGTGATATGGATGTAGACATGTAGTAAACGAAGCCACGTTTATAGAGATCGTTGTAATAATTTGACGGTACATCTTTAGTTTGGTTACCAGTCTTTCAGAAGTCGGAATATTTCACGCTTAAAAGATACTTGAATACTATTATTCGGGTACACCGTACACGACACTTCTTTAAGCATTCTCTACTTCTCCAAGATCAAGGCATGCTTTCTTCTCGGTCTTTCACGACGCCTAATTTTGGGGCAGGGCATCGAATTCCATATCAATTACTTACGCTTCTCTAATAGAACTAGTGATCAAACATCGAGCACTTCTACTATGCTATATATTATTGGTGCTTTAATGTACAACTTGAAGTTGTACCATAACATTAAATGTACCATAAATGAATTTGTATCATTATGTTATGGTACAACTTTACAATTTGAAGTTGTACCATCACATAATGTACAAGTTTAAGTTGTACCATAAAAGAATTTGTACAAAAAGTATAAGTACAATCTGAAGTTGTACCATAACATTAAAGGTACAATTTCAAGTTGTACCATAAAAATAAAAACTTATAGCACTGTAAAATTCCTCATAAGACATCGTCTTGTATCAAAGTTTAAAATTTTTTTTTTGCCATTATCAAAATTTCAAAATTAGAACCCTAGAAGTGGAAATCGGCCCAGGCGCCCAGCCCATGAATAGAATGGGCCATGTTCACAATGCGGGCCCTGAAACTCCCATCTGAATAATAAAATCAGTAAAAGTCACTCACTCACTCCTGGTCCTAATCCGTTCTAAATGCGGAATTAATTTTTCATTATTTAAAGTTTTAAACAGTTCAGTTTTATTTTCTCTCCTGTGTTGCTCCTTTTGCCTTCTACACCACCCTAGCTCATTGCCATCGACGACTTGGGCATATCCCCATTCTCATGCTCTTCGGCAAGTTCTGACACGTTACTCTCTTCCCCCGTTTAATAAAAATGACTCTCACTTGTGTCACGGTAAAAGTTCATAAACTTCCTTTTCCTATCTCTCAATTTCAAGCCCAACGTCCTTTAGATTTGATGGAAAACTTATAATGTTCTCTTTTATGATCATTTAAGCAAATACACATGGATTTTTCTCACCCGATTCCGCTCCAGCCTTCTTTGCATTTTCATCCATTTTCGTACCCGGGTAGAAAAGTTTTTCGGTCGCCCCCATCAAAATATTCCAAACCGATGGGGGTGGTGGTGAGTATCATAAACTCAAACTCCTATCTCCGTGAACATGGCATCACTCATTGCTCCTCTTATTCCTAAGCACCTGAGCAAAACGACAGTGTTGAACGGAAGCATCTCGACATGTCATCAAAACATGCTTAGCTCTTCTTCATCGTGCCTCCGGTCCAATAAAATTTTGGTCATATGCATTTGACATTGCAATGTATCTCATCAATCGCCCAGCTCAAATTGCCTCTCCACTACATCTTACCTTGTCTCATCGCTCTACGTCTCCCCTACAACGCCCATGTCGTCACACTCCTAGCCATCTCCCAAAACCTAATGTCGTCTGACCAAACTTGTCACCTAAAACCAAAAACTTACATTGTTGTTCCGCTAACTATGGTTCCTACCTACCTTGTCCACATCTCTCAAACATCTACATTGGTGGTGGGCAGCGTTACTTGATGAGTTTAATGCTTTACTAAAAAATGACACCTAGACCTTAGTGCCTCCCTTTTCACATCAAAACATTAGCACTAACGAATGTCTCTTTAGCGAAAAGACATGATCCAATCTTTCATGTGATTTATACGAGATTATCTTGTTTTTCTTCCGATCGTTTGTTATTAAAATGAGTGGAGAGAGATCTACGGAAATCCTCAATGAAAATCCCCAATACTTCTGTGTTGTCATATATCCTAGTTTTGATTTTCTAGTTTGTTGCATTTTGTCTTCATTTTCGTGTTAAAGCATAGCTTTTTTTTTTCTTTGCCACAATATTTGTTAGTAAGTCACTATTTATTTAGTTTTCCTATTTGTTGTTTGTTCCCTAATCTTGATTTTTTCATATCAATTTCATGATAGTTTATTGTTTTCTTCCAACTGTTTGCTGCTCATATGGGCCTAAAGAGATATACTGAAACTCTTGATGGAAATCTCAATACTTGTGTTGCCATTTACCCTAATTTTGATTTGCTAGTTTCTGGCATTTGGTTTTTCAATTTCGTGTTAAAGTAGATTGAATTAAAAATTATTCTGCAATCTTGATTGTTTTCCCTATATTTTGTTCGTAAGCTAATGTTTCGTTTACGTTATCATTTGTTGTTTGTTCCCTAATTTTAACTTCATTCATGGAGTTTTGCGATAATTCCTTGTTTTTCTTCCAACTGTTTGCTACTCCAATCGGTCGAAAGAGATAGACGAAAAATCTTAATGAAATCATTATATCGTGTTGCCATTTCCCTAGTTTTGATTTTCTAGTTTATTACATTTGGTTCTTTAATTTCGTATTAAAGAAAATTGAATTATAGATTATTCTGCAATATTGATTCTTTGCCATAATATTTGTTTGTAAGCCACTGTTTAGTTTGCTTCTTTTTTTTTTGGTTTGTTCCCTAACTTTTATTTTGAGTCATCTGGATTTTTTTTATCTTTCTTTGTTTTTTTCCAATGGTTTGCTGCTCCAATGGGTTGAAATATATTTATTATAATTTTTTGTCTTTCTTCCAACTGCTTGCTGCCCCAATGGGTCGAAAGATATCTACAGAAACTCTTAATTGAAATCCTGAGACTTGTATTCGTATTTACCCTATTTATGATTTGCTAGTTTATTACATTTGATTTTTTGATTTTTTTTAAACCATATTGAATTAAAGATTATTCTGCAATCTTTATTGCGTTTAGTTTGCATATTTATTCATTGTTTTAGCTCTTATTTTGAATTTTTTCATCTGAGAAATACAGGAGAGAAAGAGAAACTCTCAATGGAAATCCCTATACTTGTACAACCTTAGTTTTGATATGATAGTTAACCAAAATTTGAATGTTGAAGCAAATCTTAATGAAGAAATAAATCTCGAGGTCATTTATTCATTCCAACGCTGATGTTACTATTGTTTTCTATCAATTTGTGAAAGTCCAGGTTATATTTTAACTTATTTTATTAGTTAATATACCTTTTAGATACTAATCATAATATGACTTTTGTAACTTCTGTTTGGTGCAGGGAGTAGCTGCAGAAAATCCTCTCCATCGAACTAACCAAAATTTTAATGCTAAAGCCAATCTTTATGAAGAATGAAATCTCGAGGTAATTTATTCATTTCAACACTAATGTTACTGTTTTTGTTTATTAGGTTGCTAATGTTACTGTTGTATTGTCATTTACGATTTATTTCATTGTAGTATTTTTTTTGTCAGTTACTGAGATGGTATTTTTTCTTATGCTCTACATATTATAAAAAAATGACTTATGGTTATTCAAAAAAATAAAGTAAAATGACATATTGGGCATAAAACAAAGGTGGCCTGAATTGTCATAATGCGCAGGCCCGAATTGTCCTAATGGGCAGGTCTGAATTATCATAGTGGGCCGGCCCTTAAAACTAAGTCGGTGGAAACATTGTTATATATCTTTATTCTAACAAAATATCTGATTTCAAACTACTAAAAGACCTTCTGATGTTGATTTCATATATAATATTATAATGTCTGTTAATGTAGGCACAGGGTATGAATAATGTGCAAGCAGTTAATCAAAATGAAGATATCCCTCCACAGGCTGCAGTGAATAACCAACTCCCAGATCTGAACTTTCCTCCCCCAGATCATGTTGATCTACAGGTCCCCTATGTACCTGCAATCATTCAGCCTCTTGTCATTCCAGATCTTAACCTTCCTGCAGATGATTTTGATTAGGTTGGCCTGGTAAGTTAATAGTAGTCTGATTGATTGTGTTCATGTTGATCTACAGGTCCCCTATGTACCTGCAAGCATTCAGCCTCCTGTCATTCCAGATCTTAACCTTCCTGCAAATGATTTTGATTAGGTTGGTAAGTTAATACTACTCCGATTGATTGTGTTTGGTTATATTTACTATAACTATCTTTTTTTTCTTCTTCCTATGTGCAGAATAAGTGGAATAGAGATAAGTGAGGATTCTTTGGTACAGTTGACAGATGTTTACCTGCCTACACTTGCAGTTTTGTAAAGACCTTTTGATGTTGATTCCTCGAGACTCGAGTACAGTTTACCGGTTTTACTTTTACTATTAGGATCTAGCCAGTACAATCTGTAGACAAAGAGAGTGTATAGGTCCTCCACTTCATTCTTGTTTGCATATCAACTCTTTGTCCTAATTTTTGAAAGCGGATGAAGTATAATGTAGTTTACTTTTTCTTATATGATGATGTTGAGATCAACTGGTTGTACTATTTTGGTATACAGATTTTTCTACTATAAAATGAACTTTCTACTCTCTCCTCTTTATGCCCCATATTTGTTATAGCTCTTGATCAGTGTTTGTCAATGGTCCTTGTGGGGTTTGATTGTGTGATATGGAAGGCATTCTATGGAAGGCATTCTAGATATTTGGAACAGAGGAAGAGAAGGGAGGATGGTAAAGTGGGAGGAGGTACCAACCCTCGATAATTCAAAGCTGCAATGCTCATTTTGCACCTTGGGGCCCTTTCACTGCTGGCTTCCTCCGCATTTTCCAGATTAGTTGAGTCATCCTCCCCGACATTAGGGGTGGCTATACGGTCCGGTCCGGTTAAATTGGCCCAAATTGATCCGGTCCAGTCCGGTTTTTTTGAAAATATAAGGACCGAAGATTGGATTGGATACAGTCCGGTCTTGATCCGGTCCGGTCTTGACCCGGTCCGGTCCCAATTCGGTCTTGATTTTATATTGAGATTGTGGGAATTTGAGTGGCCTAAGGCCTAAAAGGGTGAGGAGTTGGTTAAGTTTTGTACAAAGTGCCAACGTTTGTGACCGTTTATGCAAATTACCCTTAAGTTTTGGGTGTTGAGCTCTCTTATCCGGTCTTTATCCGGTTTTTTACCTCAAATCTAAGCCCAAAGATTGGATTGGATTGTTTACTATCCGGTCCCGGTCCGGTCTCGGTCCGGGTTATACGGTTCGGTTTCCGGTTTTTCATCCGGTCCCGGTCCAAATAGCCAGCCCTACCCGACATGCTGCTTTCTAGAATATGGCTCTTCAATCACCATAGTAGCAG